CTTCTATTGCTTATGATGTCAAAATGTCACTTATTCAGATTGTTGGTTATTTTACACGAAATGATAAAGAACGAACTGATTATTTTCGATATCTTGCCGAGGGCCGCGGTTATGGAACTTGCTTTTAACAAACAATATAAAAACTTTAAATTCAACTCAACATTTTAAACGTGCAACAAAACAACACTTATTTGGTTTTGACACAAAGCAATTACTATCGTATTATTAAAAACTTTTGGTAATCTTAGTTATTTAATGTCTTATAAATTGACTCAACATCACAATTATATTGTATGGTGCTTAGTACATGTATGATATTATTTTATTTTACAATACGTAATTTGTAAATGAAATATTTATTATATCTTACGCAATTTGTAGATGGAATGTAATACAGATTTATTTGATTTGTATGTATATATGAACGGACAAATATTTGTGTGAACGTGTGCGTATGTGTGTGTGTATGTGTGCGTATGTGTGCGTATGTGTGTGTGCATGCGTGTATAATAAAAATTAAAGTCGAATAAAATAGAGAATTAAAAAATAATAATAATAATAACGATAAGAAATAATTTATATTTTTTATTTTTTATTTTTTTCTCTTTCTGTAAATAATAATTTGATTTTTAAGTTCTTTTCTTCTTAAAATCAGTTCTTGCTTTAGTTTCTTTTTTCCTTTTTCATTTTTATCGGCTGAATTTTTTAGTTATATTAACGGGGCTGGATGATAAGATCATGTCTTCTGCCAGCTCCGGTCGAAACTTTAATGTTATAATTTTTATGTTGTAAAAAAACATTGTAAAAGATTATTCATTTAATGACGAAATAAAAAATAAAAAAAAAAAATAAAAAATAAATTATGAACTTTTAGATCAAATAACTTTCTACTATATATCAGAAATATGGTCAGTTTTCTAAATTTTTAGATCGTGGTGAATTAAAAATTCCAACGGATAATTCGTGCCAATGGACATTTGTTTGTTTTGTAATTTTTCAAATACTTAAAGATCATGTATGCAGAAAATCTTTAAGTAGTATTTTTATGTTTATATCAGACTATTATTTATTGGATATGGAAGAACATCATGGTGTAATAATGAGCAACATTTTTTTTTTAAATTATATACCTTTTATGATTATATAATGAGGTATATGATTTAAAAATATATATGTATATATATATATGTATATATATATATATATACATATATATATATATATATATATATATATATATATATATATATATATATATATATATATATATATATATATATATATATATATATGTCACTTTAAATTTGGCAAAGAACCTGCATTAAAAGTATTAAAAATCTCTTAAAACTCTACTTAGTTGTCTACTATAACTACTATAATCTCATAAAATTTAGTTGTCTACTATTTATAATATATAAATTTTGAATTTGAACTTGATTTTATTTAAAACCATTAAATTTACAATCAAGAATAATTATATTACATAATTATATTACATATTATACAATTATATTACATATTACATATTATATAATTATATTAACCAATAAATTTACAATCAAGAATAATTTATTTATGTTTTAACAAAATTTTATAAAACTGTAAATTAGTTAATCATCAGTTATGAAGTATATTGACGAAGAGATGCAACACCAGGAATCTCTATAATAACTAATGTGTAGGGCAAATTATCGACAAGGCAAGTTACCCGTCATGATAGGAAACTTTTAAATAAGTTGACCGTGTTAGTGTCAATTGCTTCGTGTACTAGCATATTCCAGGACGGTGTGACACGATTAGTAAAAAAGTGATGTCGCTTTTCGCAGTCGCTAACAAATTATCTGTGTAGCTATTTATTATGACTTCTCCTATTATATGTGTTGTTAGAGAACCTTTGAGCAACAATAAAATTAACATCATCAATTTTATTCACAATCTTTAACTGTTCAATAAGATCTCCTCTGGCTCTTCTCTCTTCCAGTTTGTCAATCTAAATTTATTTAAGTGTTGATCATATGGGAGATGTTTAATTGGAAAATATAGTTAATCTGCGCTGAACTTTTTCAAGCATATTGATATCTTTTTTTAGGTGAGGAGACCATGCTTCAATAGCAAATTCCAGGTGTGGGTATATATAGTATACTATTTTATGGGTATATATAGTGTCCTATTTTAAGATTTATAAAAGTTTCATATAATAGTTTGTTTGTTTTTCAGATTTTATTAACAATTTTAATCAAAATTTATCTAATAGTCTTTGTTTGGTTTAATAACATCTCTACTCAATATAAGAAAATATCAATTTTGTATTTAGATGATAAAGCCAAAACTAAAGGTGAAATTATATAATTATGTAAATGTGTGAAATTTTAAATTAGAAAAAATTTCTTTGCATTTTATTTACATTGTTTTTTATCTAAGATTATTTTTTCTTTCTTTTTCTTTTTTCATCAAAAAAATATTATTAGGCTATACAGAGAATTAAAATTACTTTTTAGTTTTAAAATTATGAAGTTTTTTTTTTTTTTTTTTGCCGTAAAAAAGTAAGCCTCTACAAAAAAATCTGGTTGCGCGATGAATAGGCCTGTATATATCCGGTATATTGTACATATCCTATATATATCCGGTATATTCGTATCCGGTCGGATACGAATATACCGGATATATATAGGATATGTTAAATATTGTACGAGAATAAAAGAACGGGGTTTCTAGAGATGCCCCTCTCCCCGAAATGACTCCCTAACTGTTGCCGTAAGCAAGGTGCTTAAATATTACTTATGTTTGAGTTTATCCAGTTTTATCTGAACTTGACTTAGACCATTAAAAATGATAGACTACATAATCTTAAGGCGAGTTTCCACTCATCCGTTTTCCAACGGGAACGGGATAGGAAAGGAAAAAATAAACACGTAAGCATGCGTAATAAAAGTTTTTATTTGTCCGAAAGAAAACTGCGCATGCTCACGTGATTATTTTTCCGTTCCCTTTCCCTTTCCGTAGAAAAAAGGGAGGAGTGGAAACTCACCTTTACTTCCCAATTCACTATGTAATTAAATTTATT